GACGTCTCCTGACCACTTGTAGATTCTTTGCGCTTCTAGCACTATGGTGAGGATGTTTCACGAGTCGGTCGCCTCTTCATCGATGTTGTCGATATCGAAATCTTGCCGAAGACTCGCAAGGAAGCGAAGTGGTCTCAGCAGCTAAATACCTTGGAGCTTCGTTCACTGGACTTCACAGCTCTCTCCACATACCAGGTTGGATCAGCAGATCGTGTTCTGATCAACTACCACTTCAGCCCATATTGAAGGGAATACCATTTATAAGGTCGTTCCCTCTCAAAACAATTCCTAATGACAGATTAGTTCCATGCAGCCAAGGCTAGAATCAATTAACTGCTATGTACTTTTATTCGATAGTAACCCCACGGTGTTTCAGGCGGACAAGCAGCATAACTTCAATAAGGAAACTAAAACAATCAACAACACACCCTATGAATACGGCAGCAACATGCAATATTCAAGCAACGCGTAATTCAGTTTTTAAATTATTCTTTAGGCCTTTTATTTTCATTTTTCAAAAATACAAAGACCTGATTGGGATTTGTTCAGATTCGCTACAACTGGAGATTCGATGATACCGCTCACTGCAGGATATTCCCGCACCCTGGGATCGCAAGTTATCTCATTTTACGATGTCAGGATGATAAACTGGTTTTACAAATGTAACGGTTAGTCAAGAACAATGAATTACCCAACATTCTGCAGCAAACATAAAATATATTCAAAACGAAGCAACATCATTAAGTCGACCTCATACATTGATCATTTCCAGGTTGCAAATGATATATGTACATGTACATATGCTATATTTTGGATTTAATTACAAAATCTTCTATAGTATCCTCCCCTCCCCTTTCCCAAGAGCAAGTAGAGGCTAAGGGAAGCTCTGGAACACCCAGATCATGTCTTTCTGGATAACCATCTGATCTGCTTCGTCTTCCTCGCCTGATTTAATCGGGGGAGCTTTCCATGGCTCCTAAGCAGAAGTATTCGAAGTCTAAGCGGTAAAGGATGGTATCCTTGTGATTCGAACTCACGACTAAGCGCGTAACTAAGTGCGCCGTTTGCCAGTACACCATTTAAAATGCTTGGTGAAAACTTTGTTGCTTATTCAATAGGGGAGCGAAGCCACCTTCAAGTGACGTGATACAGCTCTAGTGAAGCCAAAATTTATGTATATTGTATATTTATACATTATGTGTATATTATTACACAATATGTATTATATCTTATATTGTATACTTATACTTATAATTCAATAGATTGATTGCAAATCTCCTATTTAAATGCGCTCTAAATTTACAATTTCTAACTTTTCAATTCTAATCTTCAATTAGGCTCATTCTAGCTCCATGTAATGGTCTTACAACAACGGCCAAATGCGTTAATGGAGGAGTGCCCAATCCACGAGCCTGCACAACATGTATCTGTCCGAATGGCTACGGTGGAACTCTCTGTGGACAGCGAGTGAGTCTCACGAGCTGGAAGATCCATTTGTCTAACACTTCGTAATTTTGCGATTTGTTGTTGAAGTGATATTGGTCACAATCTTGATGACCCCCTGATTGTGTTAGCTCAAAAGTACCCAACGAATACTTCAGCATTCCATCTCTCACTCCTCGATCATCGAAACAATCACCAAACTTTTAGAAAGCAGGATGTGGTGCAACGTTAGGAGCCGGTACGGCCTGGAAATCCAGAAATATCACCGTTGGTAGCACCGCTACTACATCACTTCGAGACGCTTACTCGATGTGCAACGACTGGATTACGGTAGTGATTTCTGACTCATTGTGCCTTGAACAAGCGCAATTCTGATTAACTTCATTTTTAGGCCCCAGCTGGTAAAAAAATTCAAATTCGTGTGACAGCGCTTAAGAATGTCCAATGTCAGAACGGTTGCTACCGGAATGCAATCGAACCCAAGATTTTGGCTGACAAGGCTATGACGAGTCCAAGGTAGTTCTTGAATTTTCCTCTCCTTTGGTCGAGGCTCTGTGAAGGATTGTAAGCTGCTCATGCCTATGCAGTCGACTGCATCCACTTTATAGACAACATTTCTATTAGTACTCATCACAAAAAATATGGACATTAGAGATACAGTAGGTCATCTTTTGAAAGTAACAGACGAATCTGTCTGGATTGATATCTGGTAAACCAACGAGATGTAGCTGTCATAATCACTCCCCAGAAGTGAGCCATCGTTCGGTAGATTTTGAGTGGGACTCTCATCTGATAGTAGCTCCGAGTGGGAAGGCATTGAGATGGCTACTTTTGGGACTTCAGGCTAGGGTAGACCTCAAACAATTGGACGCAAATCGGTAAAATCAGCTAACATCATGTAGGCTCAAAATACCCCAAAGCGTTGTATTATGAATAGGCTTCACTTTCGCTCTAATTTCTTCTCAATTCGTAATCAGATCACTGAAGACCTTGCCTTCTTGCAGGGTCTGCTGTTCTGGACAATTGAACCAGATCCGTGCCAGCAACATCAACCCGACACCGGTCGTCACCTACAGTCTCTACTATGCTTCCACATTTACATATCAGTATAGATATGTTTGATTCGAGTAATTGTTGTCTGTCTAAATTTTTTGACAGTTAGAAATAGAATTAGTTGACAAAGTTGTATAGATATGTTGTGCAATATTGCAC